TAACCTGTTGAACAATCCATTCCCTTTGGCAAGCGACCCTAAACAAAATAGGGATTTAAGTTCCCCTTTATTTGAATGAGGAAAGCAAATTAGTTTGATAGTACCATAATTCATGGATAATTTGACTTGTAATTGTGCACTTTGCAAAGTCTAGATGTAAAAGCTTAGAATTTGCGAAATACTGAACGATGGGGGTGGTGGTCGGAGAAAGCTACACCACACCACGTATGACCAATTGGAATCAACATTGTCTTTTGTTGCATGGCTGCTGACTTAGCAGCAGTTGGTTTGTTATAGGTTTAGGATTTGGAGACCATTTTCTATTTTCCTATCTATGGGAATGTCCTCATTCTAACTTTTTTGGATGAGTCAAATTTTTTTCTTGAGTCAAAGGTCTATATGAAACAGCCTCCCTACCCCACAAAGGTAGGGGCTAGGTTTGCGTACACCTCACCCTCTCCAAACCCCACTTGTGGGACAACCTGGTTGGAGGTGAGGGGTGCTTACCATCCAAGCAACTTGGTGACTTGAACCCACAACCTTAAGGTTGGAGGTGAGGGGTGCTTACCATCCAAGCAACTCCCTTTTATCAATACTGGGTATGTTGTTGTTGACTTTATTTCTAGTGACTTCATTCTTAGAGAACTTGTTTCTTGAGTTGGAAATCCTGGTAATATTTCTTTTGGATACAAATTCCAGATTCTGAAGTAGAATAATGTTTGATGATTTATAGAAACCCTACTGCTTTCTTGCTTCAACTCTCGGCTAAATTATAAGGAATTAGAGGAGAAGGGAAGGTTACATTTGATAGAGGACTACATGGTTCATGGGCTATATCTCCACCTTTTTTTCCGGGGTGTTGGGAAAGAGTGTTCTATTCGTGTTTCCTTGTGGAATGAAAGAGCGGGTCTGATTGGAGGGGTAGAGAAAGAAGTGAATGTGAGTTGGACAATGGAGAGTGTCACTCTTGCATCTTATTAAGCTACAAAAGAACCTCTTTTGTCAACACATTAAGGGAAAGCAATGGAAACAACTCTAATCATTTTGAAAATTTGACAGGTTGAGCACGCGAAGCAAGATGACGCATTATCAGATCTCAGTAACCTGTTGGGAGAGCTCAAACATATGGCTATTGACATGGGGTCTGAAATCGAGAGGTTAGTATTCAAGATAGTGAAATCTTATTTTAAAAGGATCATCAGCATCCTTGCTCTTTTCCCCTACTCCTTTCCTCTTCTTATTGTACTTTCATGTACTGTGTTATTCCTCTAACCACTTCTAAGAATTTCTGCGTATGTTGTTGGATATTGTAGGCAGAACAAATCCCTGGATCATTTTCAAGATGATGTAGATGAGCTCAATTTCCGAGTTAAAGGTGCCAACCAGCGTGGTCGCCGCTTACTTGGAAAATAACCTAGCACTTATCTCATGTATTAGCACTAGATATTAACGTGCTCATGCTTTTTCTTCATAATGCCATTTTTTCATCTGTTACTTCTGATTTTTTTGTACACGGATGACATCAGATCGAGTTAATCAATTAATTTCCTGGTAATCGGGTTGCAGATCAACAAATTGCTGAAATTTACTTGCTTTTACTTTCTCATTTTTCCATTTTGCAAGCGTATTATACATTCCTTGCACCGTTTTTACCATTTTTTTGGACGTGTTCTGGACAAGAGGAAGTTTATTTGCCCAGAGTAGCCACCAAAATCTTTGACGTTGCAACATACTTAGACACAGTACAATAAAAAGCGCTTATTTCCACGATACGATGACAAATGGTGACATATCTGAACACACTGAACTTTGAAGAGCAGAACTGGGAAATACTCTTTTGTTACTTTCCCAGATCAAATGTCACAAGATTCAAAGAAATCCCACATAAATCAGCTTTCACGGGATCCAGTTCATGCACACACAAGATATAACGCAACGAAAATACCATTAACAGGCACAAGCTGGAAAGGAAAAAACATTTTTTCATATAAAGAGTGCCTTTATAGCTTTTGTTTATGCAGCAATAACTCTAAAGCCATTGTTATAAAAGTCTTTGCGTGATCATGGTCAAAATGATGTATCCTCAGCAAAGTAACATACACACAAGGCAGACTGTAACTTCAGTTAGTGGGTATATAGATATCTGTCAACATCTTGAGCATAAATTGGTAAGATAAGCTGGTTTGAGCCCTTCACATCAGTTTTGAAAACAATAATCAGAAAAGACATTCGGCTAAGAAGAGAACTAAACAAAGGCAAAGGATTAGAGAGTTGAGACTTCCCTTCTGCAGTTCCCTTAAGCAAAGGGAAACAGGAGACTGAAAGCTTGAGAAGGAGCATGAAAAAAGGAAGTACACTCAGCCCCAAAAAAAGGAGGGAAAGGGAAGCATATCTAATCCTAACTTTCTGGTCAGCATAATATCAATTGAGAAAGATAGAGATATTGTAACCTTCTGTGTGTTTTGGTTTCTTTCCGAAAGTTGTTGAAAGTAGCCTTCCCCTTTCAATTGCTATTCTTCCAACATCTTTAATCCAAGTGAGGACTTACATATAGTGTCCTATCACAGAAAGATAACTCCACACGAAAAAACTGAGTTCACCTTTGGTTCAATTCTTCAAGGGTACTGATACTCGAAAACCTCAACAGCATTATCCCAAACTAGAATTTCTAGGTTCAAGTACTTCTTACAGCTACCCTCAGTGGTTTGTTAAAGCTGCTAAAGGTTACAGTAGTTTGCCTTCAGTCATCAAGGCAAAGTCTTTTTACTATTGTCCATGTAGTTTCCTGATCCCGCATAATTCATAATATCAAAAGTAACAAACTTTTGCAGAACACACTGCAAAATCCTACAATGCTTATACAACAAACAAGTGCAACATCAGCTAAAACTGAATCAAGGTACTCCCACAGTCACAATCAATAATCTAAAGAATTTAACCAAATCAACGTACACAAGCATTCTAGAAACCAAGACTTATGGTAGATCGCCAGCCAACAATGCATAAGGCACAGTCCAGCAACCAGCCAATCACCGGGCACATGAAAACAACAATCTCTAATCTATCTACCAAATATTGTTTATCAAATTGTGCTAAGCTAACAAAAGCATTCACTGGGCACATGAAAATAACAATCTCTAATCTATCTACCAAATATTGTCTATCGAAAACATTCAATTCAACTCAAAACAAGGTTGGAGCTTTATGAAAAATCGATTCTTTCAAATACATAACCCAGGAATATCAGTTAAAGAACATCAACAATACAGGGCAGTGACATTCATCACAATTAACGTTTAATTGTACAAAAAAGAACCAAAACCCTAGGGTTTCAACAAAACACCATTCATAACTCAAGGGATTCAAATCCATCATTGCTGAACTATTCAACGTTCACAAAATTATTCTATTGTTCTAATTTTAAAAAAAAAGGATTAAAAATGAGCGAAAATTCAATGGTGTTACTGGTTCAATTCCATAACGCTTTTGACCTTGGGTGCGTAAAGGGAGTAAACTACGGCCTGTCTCTTGGCAACCTCGAGCTGGGACCTACCATCGGAGAAAGCAGCGGTGACCTTAGATGGATCTGAGAGGTCTTTGTTCTGGCGAAACCCATCGATTGTTCGGCGCTTAGTGTATTCCCTAACGTTGTAATCAGGAAACTCACGCGCCGTCCGTAGAAGCGACCGGAAAAGAGTAAGGACTTCCACGCGTGACGGCGACGCCATTTTTCCTTTAGAAACAAAAACGCCGAGAGGTTTTCCGATTCAGGCGAACGATTGTGTGAAGAGGCGCTGAGGTTTATCTAGAAATCTGGGGTTTTAAGAGCAAAAAAGAAAAATATTTTCAATATTCCACCTTTGGTCCCTTAAATATCGACAATCATTTTTTGTGTTTTTTTTTTTGTAGTAATTTTTTGTGCTACAATATGACACTTCCCCCTAATTATTTTTAAGTAGGAAAAAAGTCAAAAATACCCTTAAACTATATAAAAGGAATAAAAATGCATTTCGTTTATAATTTGGCTAAAAAATGTCTTTAGCCAATCTTTTAGTTCAAAAATGTCTTTGCAGTCAATATTTTGGTCCAGAAATGTCCCTATAGTTACAAAATGGGTCAAAAATGTCTTTTTCCGAATAAATATATATATATTTTCTTTTTAAACTACATCTTCTTCCTAATTAAAATATTATTAAAGAACACTATTCTTGTTTTCTTTCTTCTAAAAATCACTTTAACAAATAAAAGTGTAGGAAATATTTTTCTTCTTAATATCATTTTATCCATCATTAATTTATATTTATATACCGATAAAAAAGTAATAAAATAAGAATTTTTTTTTTTTCTGAATTGAAGATAATCATTTGCGAATTAAAAAAAATATTATTAGAAAAAGAATGTGTCAAAAAGAAAATAATAATATATTTATTTGGAAAATGAGCCTTTTTTACCCATTAAATAACAATAAGGACATTTTTGAATCAAAGTATTGACGGCAATGGTATTTTTGAACCAAACTACAAACAAATGACATTTTTGTTTCTTTTGCATAGTTTAAGGGTATTTTTGAACGAAAGTATTGACGGTAAGGACATTTTTGAGCCAAACTATAAACGGGGGCATTTTTATTCCTTTCACATAGTTTAAGAGCATTTTTGACCATTTTCCTTTTTTAAATTAAAAATCCGTTAAATATGTGAATTTATGGCCGACTAGAATCCACAATTTTAATTGAGTATTATAAAACTCAGATTTGAAACTTATCAATAACAATATTTCACTAGAGCATTTAGGGGCAAATCTAGGTAAGAGGGGACAACTGGGCAAGTGTATTCACTAGAATCCCAAAAAAATAATATTTCATGCATAAGATATTTTAAAATTTTTTTGTGTATGTATATAAATTTTTGAATCTCATGATCATAAGAAAATATTTTTGTATGTTTAATGGATAGTTAGTTACATCCAAAGCCAAAAACATAAATGAATAAACAAAAAAGGAAAAGTTGAACTGGTATATTTGATTCTATAATGAGTAATGAGTTATTCCATGTAAAAATTATAATCAGCTATAAGGGGCTGGTATTATTGTAGCCACAGTTATATTTGTATTGAAGCTCTCAATAATACCTATCTACAACTGGGAGAATTAAAATTGGGGAAAACAATGAACTTGATGGACAATGGTTCAATAGATATTGGAGAGTTAAGATTTGTAAAGACTGGAGACAAGCTTGGAATGTCTCCTGTTTCTGTGAGTCGCAATAATTTCCCGTTGAGGAGCATTGTTCTGCTTTTAATGTTGCCACCTTCTGGTGTTAGATGGTATTCTTCTCGCGATAATGTAACATCTGATGACTTGGTTCCTACCCATGAGACACTTTCTTTAATACTGTGCGCGAATGATTTCTTCTTGTGAACCTTTTTCTCACCTACTTGCAAGCTGGTTTCTGCAGTAGAGTGGATGTTGACCTTGTACTGAATCTGGGTGCTTAAATTTATCAGAAGTAAAGTCACACCTGCCTGAAGAAAGGTAACACCAGTGAGTTAATACGCGGTTTTGGTCTTTAGTAGTAGTATGGATATGCAAATAATCAAGTAGAGATTTGAAAGACAGTAGGTAGCACATACACATAAATGAGAGTTCAGTGGACTAAGGGACACCAGATTGGGTCATTTGATATTTGCATGAGATCGAGGGAATCAAGAACAGCAAAGTGTACGCAGACCTTTCCCCTACCACGTGGGGGTAGAGAGGCTGTTTCCGAAACTACATGGTGCTCCTAGACTCCCACGAAGCCTAATCCCACTGAAAAGTTGACAATGCATAAGTTGAGACATTGGCTGCAATTCTGATATTGAAGGTTGGTTTTCGAAATAAGGCAAATGACAGAGTCAGTGGGTACAAACTCAACCAGGCCCGGTGTTTAGAAAATACCAAATAATTTAACCTTGACAGTGAAAAGCTAAAGTTGAAAAACACAGGTCATGCATTAGTTGGTTTAGTGTATACACCTGGTGTAGATAAGTTCATAATCAACTAAGGCTTATTGCATAGCCTACAAATGGAGGAGTGAAACATATTATATCTAGTCAACTTTAGTTATAACTGCCCCTGTAGGGTTCACAAACCTAAATAGCATATAGTCCTTATGTGTCAGAATCCAAAACAATATCAGAGAAACACTAGAGTAATTGCATCTTTGTTAGTCTAACTAGGAGCATATCTAATGTCGGAGACTCCATAATATATGTTATATGGACATGATAGATTATGCAACTGAAAGAAAACAAAGGAAGCAGTTAAACACAACAATTTCATTTGGGGAACCTTTAAAGCACTTGTTATCAAGACAATTTTCCAATGTAGTAATGCATCACATATTGCATAAATGAATCGGGATATACACATACTCTATCTTTTGTACAATGGGCATAAGTGCGCAAATGTGGTGCTGCGCTGTTGAAAACACCAAGTACTACTTTTCCCATCAGTCTATTCCAAAGAAGTGCACTGTATCAAATTGAAAACAGAAGGATCAAAACTTTTTTATTAGATTCTCACCGACTTTAACAACATGAATATGAAAATTAACAGCCTGCTCCTTCTAATGATAGAGTGAAGCCAAACTTGAATAAAGTAGTCAAGCACCTCACCTATAATAATCAGGATTTGGAACAAACGTATCGGTATCAAGGAGCCCATAATTTCCACCTATAAGCGTCTGTCTGCAGTATACTTTAGTATGGTGCTTGGCTGCCATCCCAAGCTGATCTAAGTACCTATATTCCATATTAAAGGTCTTTGGAATTGTTTCACTTGACTGCTAGCTAATACTATAAGTCAAATCAAGCAAGAAATTTTACCAAAAGCTATCTACAAAGGCGTTAGACACATCAGGACCTCCACTGTTGAAGGCTCCACCAGATTCTCCAACCCAAGCTGAAGCCCAAGGACCATTTCTTAGAATGGTTTGAGTAAGACTGCTGAATGTGCCTTCTGTTCTACTCAGGTATTCAGGATTTAAAATTTTATCCACTAGCTTGCTATCAGACCCTGAAACAGAACATTTCTGGTTTAATTAACATAAATAAATTCATCAGCTCCGGAATCTAGATAATAGAAAGAAACTACATAAGAATAAACCAGAATGATTACACTCTTTCTAGATCTTTCGAACCACTAAACAATAATCACATGAAGAATAGATAGAAGCGGTCAATTTTTCAAGGATGTAAATGAAGTAATAAGATTAAACCAGTATAAAATTTCAAAAACAACAGCAAAATGGAGACCAAGTGTCATATACAAAAAAAAACATTTAAGATTTCATCACTGGTTTTATGAGTTTAAAGTAGTCTGTTCATAATTAAAATTGAAGCTTACTTTTATCAATACGAACTAGATTTTCTAAGTCGAGGAGGTTTTTAATATAGCTCCAGTCTTAAAGGGAAAAAAATTCGCACTATCTCACCCGGGCCAAGATTATAAATATGATGTGTCAAGACATTGACAGTGCCACGCCCTGAAACCTGAAGGAGCTTGCCGAACCACCCAGGATCATAGAATCCTCCTGGTGCTAATAGTAGAGGACGTACGGGGGTGTTCTGATATACTTGGTTTAAGAGATTGTGCAGCTGGATAACATCTTTTCCATACTGTGCAGCATCAACACTTGCACCAATCCCGCTACCACTCAATTCATTTCCTACAAAATGATAAAAGCATGGTTAAGGAAAGGAACCTCTGTGGCTCTTATAAAGGAGAGAGCTAAACATAAAGTTGCAAGAAGAAAGAAACATGCCAGAAATTATACCAAATTCCCATGAGTTTATCTGGTAGCCCTTGGCAACAGTGTATTTTATGAAATCAAGGGCATTGCTGGAATCCCAATTTCCTACCCACGCGTGCCTATTTGTCGGTTGTCTCCCATACAGTGCATTCAAGCCAAAAGTCACAAGTGCTCTGCAGCAAATGCAGTGAAACTCGAATGAACTTCAACGGAGAAACTTTAGAATCATGGAAAGTTTTCAACAGTCCTAAAGTTATTTTACTTTACTTTTTTGGTATAAATCATAGTCCTCAGTATAAAAAGAAATATAGATTTCAAGTACAATATTCCACATTTTTAAGTTTCTCAAAGTTATGGATGCACATTTAGGATTCAGAAGTAGTGACATAAAAGAGTCATGCATTAGATGTGGAATGCCATCAATTTAGACCTTCAAAGAGTCATTCGAAAAGATGAAAGTGAGAAAATTCGAGCATAAACCAAACTTGGAGGCGAATGTTTCCTCTTGAAAGTGGTAAATGGAAAGAAGAGAAAAGAAAAATAAGTAAAGAATCAAGCCGTAATGTGCAGCCTAGGAGCAGACCAGATTATTAGCCAGGACACGGTTACATGCATTAGGAGAAGTACAGAATGTGCCAATCTTACCCTGTCTTCTTGAAAAGGTTATTTAGCTCATCCCATCTCTGCATAGGTAAGCATCCCCTAGAGAATCCAAACAACCCATCCTTCTGCTGGGTGAATGAACTGCAAGGAGATTTCAAGTTCCCTACGCCATATATTACTTGGTCTTGTAAAGAACCTCCAAGCCGTAATCTCAAACCCTTGAAAGCTGTATCACCAATAAAAGACACATAGAGAAAGAAGTTCAGTTTGCTTATCATTATAAGTAGAGCATTTCATATTTTAAGGTGAAATGACAGCATCTTGGGGTCTCAGTTTGCTAATTATGGTAATAACAAAAACAACTTGGAAATAAGTTGAAAATTATGGCATAATGGTACGTGCAAACCTCGTATAGCATTCTCCAGATATGGATGAGTTAAATCCTGACAAATCAAAACACATTCATGAACACAGACTTAATCAGAAACTCGATAAGATATTTATACTTTTAAATATTAAAGAACAACATATTCCTTCAATAACAAGCTAGTATGAGTTACCAGATTTATAATAGATGCTGAACCCCAAGGACATTGCTTGTAGTTACACTTCTCTTTAGGCCACCAATCAATGGTAGCACAAATGTAATTAGCATCTGTCCAGGCAACTTTCGTAGATGCATCAATCGTAAGTACTATTTCTTTAACTGTTTGTGCTGAAAGTGCAGGGCATAGTGCCAAAAAGATTAACAACAAGGTTCTGAAGTCCATTAGAAGATTAACCTCCACGAATTCACCGCTGTTTGAACCTAATCATATACTGCCAAGAGGAAGCAACCAAATAAATGTTAAGAGACTTTTAAAGAGTAAGTTATTCCTTCAAACAAGAAAACAAATATAGTAACATTCATTGTAAGCTATTCTTTCTAACAAGAATACAAATATAGTAACATTCATTGGACAACATCATACTCAAGTACTGTGTTTTGACAACTAAATGTAGATTTAACAAAATACAACATATCCGGTGTATTCCCACTAGTGGGGCCTGAGGAGAGCAGAGTGTACGCAAATATTCTTACCCCTCGTGTAGATAAGTAAGAAAATATGAATGAGAAATGAGTAAGCAAACCAAATTGTTTTCTTGCTTAGATATAAAAGAACCTTAAACACTCTGAGTCAGTCAAGTTTAGCCAGATCAAGAAACTTATCTATAAATGACAATAGTAATAAAGATAGAGACGAAAATTCCAAATTTGGAAAATAATTTAAACACTGCATATATAAATTCAGAACCAATTAAAGACTTACACTTTTTTGTTATTAGTTTTCAGAAAACTTTTTCTTCACGTCTAAGACAAATATTCCACCAGCAGTATAAGTAAAGTCCACATCAACACACAATACACAAATTCACCAAAAACATTCAGCCAAAAAAAAAAAAGCCCCTTACAATTTATATTGCTCGAACTCTTCAAAAATGTTCTCGTGTGCTTGTTGGATCTTCAAAAGTAGTATCTTCGACACGGGTGGGGCATCATTTTTTAGAGAGTACGAACAACATAGCTTATACTAACATCTAATCTAAGGAATAAAGAACCAATGGAACTTCACCTCACAACCCAGATGAGTTATAACGTCCAACACTAATAATGACACCAATCTAAGCTCAAATTCCGAGAAAAAAAACAGCAAAAAAAAAGGGTAAATGGCAAGAATATGGAGTAAAATGAAATGGGTTGGGTTCAGATTTGTGAGAAATCAGATAAAGATTGAATCTTTTTTGGGTGAGAAGTGTCAGAATCAACTAACAGTCATCACTCATTCATTCAGTTTTTGGTAGATATGTACAGAAACAGTGACTCGTGTAAAGTGCAGACAAATAATTGGAGGAAATAGAAACTAAAGATAATTAAATACTCCACCACATATGATGAGTTGGATAGACCTTCGTCCAATTATTATTTTTTGTTGAATTCCAAGTTGTCTTCAACTTAAAGTCATGCCTATACACCCAATAAGCTAGCTAGATTTTTTTTCCGGAAAATTTAGTATCTCAATTTTTCGAGTTTCATATCTGAAGATTTATATGCATAAGTTTTCTACTCCTTTTATTTCTTTTCGACAGTCAATTTTAACTAATTTTTCAAAATTAAATTAGATTATATTAATTTGATATTTTAAAATATTCAAAAACTATACGAAAAGAAATATAGATTGCAACTTTTTCCGTATTGATATGATGAAAAGAAAAATGCATCTTAAAATATTAGTCAAATTTGTATTGTTTGACTCCAAAAAAAAAAAAACTATGACAACTAAAAAAGAAAAGAACAGAGAGAGTATTTACTATTGATTGTTGAATAGAAAAAAAACCCATATAATTCGAGATATGAAATTCATAAAATCTACTTTTTTTAAAATGATATTTTTTACCCAGATCTCTATATTTATTGGTTTATTTTAGTGATAAAGAGACAGACAGTATTTGATATTAATAACTATGCAAAGTAATATTAGTAAAATAAACTTGTTTAAGAAATGAATCAGGTCAATAATGATCAACATAGAGACTTAAAAGAATTTAAGAAATGTAATCAATCAACAATGATCAACATAGGGACTTAAGAAATGTATCAGGTTAATAATGGTCAATAAAGAGACTTACAAACTTATACACCATCACTGGCTATATATTAATTGGGATGTGGTGATTGAACAAGATCACTCCTTAATTAGAGATTTTAGATTTAAATCTCGAGAATAAAAAAGCTATCAACAATAAGTCGTTTCTTCTTTATAGTCCTATGTAGCAGTTAAGACATAGTTTTTTAAAAAACTTATATGTATTATATAATATATAATATATTGATTTTTAAAAAAAAGTGAATGTACTATATAATATATATTGAATTATTTTTTTATTTTTTAAAAAGTGATATATATATATATATATATATTGAATTATTTTTTAATTTTTTTTTGGTCTGTTTATTTCTTAAATATTGACATTTTTTAATAATTTTTTTTGTTCCGACACTACTTTAAAAATATTGTATTTTGTTATTCTAATGGGTAAAGATTGTGATAACATTCATACTATAGTTTATATAGTAAAAAAGTTCAAAATACTTATCAACAGACAACATCAAATGGATTTTGGTAAAACTAGGTGCAAACAAAACCACTTAGCTTGTAGTCAATTATTGATATATATATATATAGGATGAAATGAAGAACTACTAGAATTTCATTATTATGATTTGGAGAGGGCACGCATCATGTAGATAGATTTTTTTTATTTTTAATAGATTATCAGTTAAAGTAATGCATATTTAAATCATTAAAAAAATACATTAATGAAGATATTATATAGAAAATGGAGAAAGAACAATAACAACAATAAACAAAACAAAGATATATATAACAAACAAGTAAAAAAACTTTCAAAAAAATGAAAAATAATAAGAGGGTATTATTATTAATAATACAAATAAGGAGAACTCAATAATATCAATCGATTACCTACTAGTTATTTATCTTAATTCTCGATTATCATATTCTTCTATCTAAAATCATGTCTTACTTACATATATTCTTCGTTCTACTTCTACCTTCTCTTAAGATTAAAATACTCGATTAAAGAAAAACCATGCAGAATATAGTACATATGAGAAAATAGAAAAATATACCTAACAAAATATAGCTGTTGATCACTGAAGAGGCAGCAGAGAGTGAAAAATCATATAAAAAAGTGAATAAATAGAGATTTTTAAAGGTGCTTGAAACGTATAAAACTAAAGCTCAATGAGTGTAATTATGGTAGGAAGATTTCAAGCATTAATTGAATACTTTTATTATACTTAATTTTGGTCACAAAAAAAGTATATGGTACTTTTTTATCTGTAATAACCACCGACATGGCTAATTTTAGTTATTATTATTTATTGGAATTAAATTAAAATCAAGATCTCACATGAAATCTAAAAAAAAAAAAAAAGATCTTACATGAAATATTCAATTGAGCCTAAGGTTTTATCTCTAAAAATAAAATTCCAATTGAATTAAAGCATATTTATTATACCTATTTATAAAGGCCAAGTAAATTTTAAACTTTATGAATTTGAAATTTTAATTCTTAATTAGAATATGTTCTAAATTTATACTCTGTCTATTCCATATGAAGTGAATTATATATTGAGACTTTTTCATATTTCAAAATAAGTAAATTATTTAAGGTTCAAATGTTTTTCTCCATAATTATACATCACTTAATAAGGTTATTGACTACTTACATTTTCTCGAGACTAATTTAAAAATAATCAAAAAAGATGATAGTGAAAAATAGACTTAAATTTATGTTTTGAATATATTTTTCTTTTGAAAAAATGTAATATTTTAATAATTTACTAAATATAAATTTTTAAAAAGTTATTTCTAAATATTTAATAAAAAATATTAAATTTAACCGAACTTATTACGTTAGTACATAAATACACGTTTTCTTTTTTAGTACACCTAACTTACCACCTCCCCCAGAAGCTTGTAATTCAACAAGGTCCCACTTAGGAACTAGAGGGGGTACAAATGTAATTTCCTTCTAATTTTTTTTTTTTTAAAATCTCGACAAGTTTAATTAGTTTAAAGTTTCAATAATTAATATTCTCTCTATTGCAATTTAAGTAATTCCATTTATTTTTTCTTTATGTATTATTTTATCTAAATTTTCTATCAATCAAATAGTATTATATAAATTGACACAGAGAAAACATGTAATATGAAAGATTTGGTTAAAGAAAGATAGAACATCGACTATCTCTAAATTTACATGTGAATTTTATTTAAACACTTAAACTATGATTTATTTCAGTTGAATATATGATAAAGTGTTTTTATGAGATATTTTTAACTTGAAATTTTGATAAGTTTTCTGAATATACTCTCACAATTCATTTTGTAAATACGTTAACTACTAAAATATATTCTGCAATACACATATTAGCCACAAATAAATCATAAAATCTTTATTTGTTTCAATTCATACTCATGTGTATAATTACATGAGGAAATACATTTTATGCTATTAACTATTTTAACGTAATGTACACTTGATAACACGTGTCAAATGAATTCCAAAATATTTATCGAAAATATCTAATAAAAATCCACGTATTTAAATGCTCAACCATAACAAATATGACACTTATTTTCGATTAAAACTTGACCAAACAGACTATTAGTTACTCGTTTTAAGTAGTTTTCTGTGTACTTGAAAAAAAAAGAAAAAAAAGAGGATATAAATGTCAAAATGGACAAAATTAGAGGATATATTAGTGAAAAAAGAAGTCCCGAAAACACCATCTTCTTCCTCACAGAACAATGCTTCCAAATAAAAAATTGGTTTCACACATTCTCTTATGCAGTTAGGTTCTTTAATGGAGGTCCTCACTACTCACCCTAAAAAAACCCTAGAAATTCAAAAAATGAAAAAGGAAGAAAAGTAGCCCTTAAAAGTTTAGCTCTTTGGAGTTTTCCACGAAACTTCTTTGGAAAATTCTTTCTCCCTGACTGTTTATTTATATCAAAATCAAATTTTCAGCCATATTTATTGAAGGAGGTAATTTTGAGGTTCGGATGGAGAGAAATGAAGGAGGGGATAATCAAGAAGGTTCTGGATGGATGCAAGTGAAAAAGGTGTGAACTTTTTGTTAAATTGAAACATTTTAGTTTTTATCTTTAAGCTGAAAGATGATTAAGAAAAATGGGGTTTACTAATTATAACAGAAATCATCAAGAACCATGTTTAGGTTGTGTTATGGGCCTAAATCAAGAAAGTACAGCCTGATAATCTGGTGTTTTAGGTATTATTTTGGATTAAAATCTTGAATTTATGTAGATGGATTAGTTGTATCTTAGTTATCTGATAAAGAGTTAATCATTTTCAGTATGTTTCTGAAATTGGATTAGTGGGTTGCCTTAGAATTGGGGATAATATTATTGAACCATTTAGTGAAGAAAATGGTGAATTAGCCTGGATTGTTTCATATTCTTGGATCCTTTAGTCTATTTGTTAATCAATGTGTGAACTTGTTGTGCAGAAGCACAACAGAAACAGTTCAAAGTTTTCGCTGCATGGTTGGGTTGGAGGATCATCTCAAGGAACTGCTTCTGGCCATCCAGAGAGTCAGCCTTCATTAGCTGTAAAAAATGAGGATCTTAAATCGTCTGTTCGGCATTCAAAAGGAAGTCGCCCTGGTATTATACGTGATGGCGTAATGTCAGTTCTGAAGGAAGATGCAGTGATTGTGCACGATAAATGTGTAGTTGGTCATTGTAGTACTTCTGTTAGTTTAGGTTTTTCAACAGATTCAAATCAAGGAATCAGTAGGGAACATTCTCAAAGAATTAACCATGAGGTCCTACCAAAAATCAAGTGGGGTGACTTGGATGATAGAGGTCTACCCTCTCCTTTTGGAAGTACTGTCCAAGCAGAAATTAAGTTTGGTGACATTCAAAATCATGATCTTCTTAGTAGAAGAACTGATCAAACAAATGATTCTTTTGCACACACTTCTATAACTGATCTAGAGAAAAATGGATTGGTTGCAACCACTGAGGATGAAAACCATCAAATTCTCGACTCTCATCCTTTGTCTCCAAATATGAAGGAACTATCTTCAGAAGATGTTAATGCTACTGCTGCTTATACCCAGCTTGAAAAAGGTGACACTTGCAAGAGTCCTGGCGAAAAGGTTAAATGTGCTGCCAGAGAAGGGCCTAGTGGTGTAGTTATGCGCACTGTCGAATCTGAAGAAGCTTGCATGGAAATCCCTGAAGTGCCTAGTCTTGATCAGAATATAAAAACAGTGATGGTTTCCCAGAATCCCGAGTCACTATCACCTACTA